GTATTCTCCCTCAAAATAGCTTATAATCCTCACAGCTTGACTTGAAATTATTACCAAAAGAATCACCACATTTTTCTGAATAGGATAGACGATAAAGTGAGTGAAAATATCCTATGGGCCAAATTGGCTTCTTATGCGCTCCTGTCCTTTAAACATATATATAATAATTGATTAATTTTACTAAAATGTACTTCTAAATATAATTTTTTTAAAATCTAACACTATCTGACGTTGCATCAAGTGTGACGTTGACAGAGGCTAGTATCTAATAATCATAATTTTTCTTAAACACGCGATGATTCATTCGTCGATCAAAATGACATTCTCGAGAAAAACCAATATGTCGAAGAAATACTATAAAGAAAGCATGTGCTAGGAAAAGATATCAATAGGTTCTTCAGCAAGAGTACTTCGTTAAAAAGGAAAATTTTGATAACGGGCAATCACATGCTGATGAAATATGAATTGTGTTTTGTTCATCGACCAGATCTCTTATGCTAGTAACTGGTTGAAGAAACTAGAAAATAGAATAATATTTATTCTAGGCATAATTCAATTCGTTTCAACTTATTGTATAAACTATCATTTTGATTTGTCTGCTTAAAAAAATACAAAGAGATTCAATAATTATATTTAATAAACATTGTTAAAAAAAATAAAAATAATCTGATATATTTGGAAAATTGTTTGATTAAGATTTGAAGTATTTTCTAATAAATTCAAATCGAAAAAATAAAATAAAACTTTTTCAAAACATTCGATTCTATACAATTTATCATATACGTTAATAGTGCCAGTAATTCGAAATTTGTGTAAATCATTTTTTTTTATTGACTCTAGCTTTGTTGGATGGAGCTCGTCGCATTATCACATCTTTCTTGGCATACTCTCATATTTACGGTTGATTTATTCTCTTTCTGAAATGGCTGTATTATTTATTTCTACAGTGGAATTCGATGTAGAAGAAATAATGTTGACAGTGATGAGATATCAAATAGGTTGGCAATAAGCTAAAACGTGTAATTGGACTATTGGCAGATTTTTTTTGACCTCTGAAAGTTAACCATACAAAGATATAAACATTCATTAGATATACATAGTTAAACGTTTCTGTTTATCTTATTGTAACTGATAGACATATATCCAAGAAAAAGTCTGGAAAATGTTTCGTAGAGCTGAAAAGGTACATATCAAATTTTTTGTATAAGTGCTGATGTGCAAAATTTTGTTTCCATTCGGCGATCTTTTCTCAAAGAGTGTGCATTGTCCCTACGCCATATTCTTGATTGAATCATGTCACAGAAAACGGATTTTTTTTTCTTGCATTTTCTCGCGATATAAAAGTTTTTTTTTTTTATCAAACCTTCGTATGTAACGTCCTTATTAGGATTACAATAGATTTTAAATATTCAAATAAAATGATCTCTCTTGCTTTTGCAGCCTCTCAAATGTGAACACACGAGTCATGTTGTTTTTCTTGTGGCCTCTTTCTATTGTTGATCACGTGTCTCATGTGCACTCTGGTTAAGTACACATTATCTATAGAATCATCAATGTACGTAAGAAGACATTAATGACAGCACGGCATGAACTTGATTTTCAATTAAAAAATGGGATTAATTATTGGATAAGGATCAAAACTAATTTGCATTGGTTTTAATTCGAAAGCAAAAAAAAAGACAAAAAAAACATTGAAAGATTTTTTAAAACAACAAAATCTCGTATTTTTATTGAAGAAAATGGACGAAGAAGAGAATAAATCACTAGGCTTTTTCTAACGTCAACGCAGGAGTAGATATTCGGGAAACTCTTCTCCACTTTACAGCAAACCATGTTCCAGTTCTCTAAACTGAACACTTCCATATAGTGAACGTTTTTTAACGGTCCTCATGGTGTTGACAAGACACAGAGAGTTCACTATAAAAAAAAAAATTTTCAAATAGAAGATATAAATACTCAATAAACATTAGAAATAAAAATGCATCATTGAATGAATAGCTTATGCTGTTTAAAACAGTGTCTGATCAAATAAACAAATCTATTAGATAGTCTAAAGCTCATTTTGCAATAGTGGCTTGACCGAAAAAAGCCTTTAAGGAAGAAGAGTTCAGTTCCCTGACTGTATCAATAGAGGGAACGGGGATCCTTTAATAACGCTTCTATAGGGGCTTCAATCCATTTTTTACTCGGAATTAAATCCTTGATAAGAGAAAGGACTGAAAATATTCTTAGATGGGTTGAGCCCCCCCCCCCCCCCCCTCGTGATTACTCCACTATTTTGCAATAATTGTGGAACGAGAAAGAGAAAGTGATGATGATAGATGTCACTGAATACTGGAATCATATCTATCTTTTTCATTAACTAGTAAAAATTGAGATTTTTTGCACCATCGATGGCAAGAAAACAGTAGCTGAACGAATAAATCTTTGATTTCACACATTAATGCTTGATTGAATAAATTCTAAGTATATGATTTAGTGACGAAGATCTGTGAGACTGAACTTCTTATCAAAATCGTTGAGATTTGTTTGCTCATAAGAACTTCTTTATATAGATATTAGTATAAATTTGAGAGCTGAGATCCCTCTAAATTTAAATCTTAGCTCCTCAGTTAATGTAAACAAGTCTTGTTGCCAAGCCTTATGATATAGAAAATCGAGCTATTTACCGTTGGAAAAATTTGTAATGCATAATACTTTCAGATAAAGATTCACCTTCGTAAAACATCTGATACGATATTTAAAAGATGCTATCAGTGGGCAATCATATACAGTAATATTAGTCGATATTAGAAATGTCATTTCTTTTGGTTACAGGTCGAATAAAAGTTAGCTATGATAACATTGAAAAACAACAAAATTAGTCAAACAATTGAAAGTTCAATAGTTTTCGATTATGCTTGATATATCTTTTAGTAAATATGACTTATATTTGCTAAAAATATAGATTGTTTCTTAAATATCTTTCTTCTAAAGACAATCTTCAGTTTCATTTAGTTTTAGTTTTATTTACACAAAAAAACTTTTTATTCTTCATCTACAACAAGAGTCATCTATATTATATGAATAGGAACAAAAAGAAAGGGTCCGCTGTAGACAACATCATTCAAAATGCCGTCCTTTCATCATTTAACTTATATTAATACAGTCAAGATTCTTTTTCTTTAACTATATGTGACTCATTTGAAAGTCTTCTTTTTTTGATAAAAGAAAAATCATGTGTACACCGGGAGAAACTGCGCAAACTTTCATGTATGCTAATCGATATCAACAAATAAAAAAACTCGGTCAAGGTAGTTTTGGTACGGCCTATTTAGTTCATGATACAAAATCTAAACATGAAAAGTATGCTTAAAAAAAAACAGCTTATACATAAATATTAACTTATGGATTATGTTTCAGAAAAGTTTTAAAAGCAATATTTATTGGTGATGTTTCACCAAATGAATCTTTAGATGCCGAACACGAAGCATCAATTTTAGCACGTCTTCGTCATCCAAATATAGTTCGATTTTATGATAGTTTTATGGATGCATCCTATTTTTGTATTGTAACAGAATACTGTGAAGTAACGGTTTTGTTTTTATTTTGTTTTAAAAATTGAAACAAAAACAAAAACTTTTTTTTTTCTGTCTTTTTTTTAAATAACAAAACAAGGACGGTGATCTGGATCAATTTTTAAAATCTTTACGTAAACAACGTAGTCGTTTACAAATGGATCAAGTTATTGATTTATTTATTCAACTTTTATCAGCTATAGATTTTCTTCATTCAAAAAAAATTCTTCATCGTGATATTAAAACTAGTAATATTTTTTTAAAACGAAATTATATTAAACTGGGAGATTTTGGAATTTCACGTTTAATGATAAATACATTAGATAAAGCATCAACTTTTATTGGTACGCCATATTATATGAGTCCAGAAACATTAAAATATGATGGATATAATATGAAATCGGATATTTGGTAAGTAAGATGGTAGAAAGAAAATTTTCTATTTTTTTAAAATTAATCTTTTTTTAATAGGTCAATAGGTTGTGTTCTTTATGAATTAAGTGTTTGTAAACGTGCATTTGAACGGTCAAATATTATACAAACAATGGATGCAATACTTCGAGAACCTGCGCCTACATTACCGGAAAGATTTCCAGCAAAAATACAACAACTTTATTTACAGTAAATACTAGAGAAGAAGCTTTTTTATTCTTATTTTTGAATATTTATCTTGATTTAATTAGAATGCTTTCAAAGGATCCAGAAAAACGATTGAAAGCATCAGAGTTATTAGAAGAATTTAGTCAAGTATGTTTAAAAAAAAAAAGAATATTATCAAATGAATCAATTGTATTTTTTGCTTGTTAATTTAGATTGAAATAAAAGCAAATAATACAAAAAAACTAGCTACTCAATCATCGACTCCTGATCTTGAAGGAAGTAAGTTTAATCTATTGAATTTTAGCATTGAAACTTGAAAAGAATCAATTGTCAGAACTTATTAACATATTTAAGAAAAATTATTTGAGTAAGATCTACCATACTGTCAACAAGGCACGACATTCAGATTGAGTCATTATACATTATCTTCGTTTATCTAGATAATTGTAAGATTTCATTCGTCCTGCATAACTCTTAGGTTGTATTATCTAGCTGGGCATTATCAATTTTTGTATGTAATAACCACTTAATGAACTTACATTTTTTAATAGAAAACTACTAGTGTAACCAGACAGAGGCTTAACAGACTTAAGTCTCTTCTGACAACGTTAACAGAAGATCTCGGCCGGCTCTATTGAGCAAGAGGTTGTGCTTCCTTATAACTTTTTTTCTAATTATGCTTCTATAAAAAGTTCAATTGAATTTTATGTCGTTTTTCCAACACACTATATTGAAAAGAGTCAAATCTAAACGAATCATTTTTTGTTCTGTATATCAAGATTTCTTCACAAAACCTTTTTCCACTGTTATTTTATTTCATTAGATTTTTTTCGCATAAAAACATCTATACACATTTATATTTTATTTAAGATAATCTTATATTAATATCGATTTTTTATTAGAAGATTCTTTTGTTTTTTTTCTTTAAAAAAAAACAATCACGAATAATTGTTTATCGAATAATTGTAAAAATAATTTCTTCTTTAGAACCATCACATCCAGATCTTCGTCGTTCATACAGTAATAGTCCAATAATAAATAAACATATTCATAATTCATTACAAGTTCCATCATCACCAGTTCATTCAGCATCATCAATGGATTCTATTGATTGTTTTGAAAATAATTCTACAGGTCTATTCAATTTCATCATATATATTTTCATTAATAATTTAGCGTTTTTTTTTCCATTTAGATGATATTCAAGTTTTAGATAATAATGTAGATCCATTTAGTTCGACAGCAAAACAAATCAAAACTGATTATTATCGAAGGTTAATTAATAGAAAAATCCAAATTATTTTTTTTTTTAATTTAATTTTTTATTTTTAGTAAAGCACAAGAATTAATTGGTTCAGAAAATTTTAATCGTATTTATAATTATTTACATGAACAACATAAAGAGCAATCTGAAGATTCAACACGAACAGATGATATTATTTTATCTGGTCTTCAAGCATTAAGTACAAATTTACATGCATGTACATTAATAAATGAACTTGTACTTCATGAATGTTTAAATGAATTAAATGAACGAGCAGAAACATCTTGATGATATATTTAATATATTTATTTTTCGATAATATATAAAAATAAACTTTTTCTTTGCATTTTAGATTTATAATAAATATGATTGAAAATGAGGAACCACAAATATATAGACAACGTTATAAAATTATGAAAAAATTAGGAGCAGGAAATTTTGGTACAGCTTATCTTGTTACTGATCTGACAAGACGAAATGAACAGTAAGGAATATTCGGAGTTATTCTTACAAAATAAATAAAATTTCTATTTATAGAAAAGTACTTAAAGTTGTTCGATTAGGGGAAATGGATGTTGAGCAAACAGTTGATTCAGTTCGTGAAGCTGAACTATTATCAAGATTAAATAATGAATATATTGTTAAAGTAAGATGTTGGTGATGTAAAAAAAAAACGAGTGAATATCATTTATTTATGGTTTGAAGAAACGGTTACAACTATTTTATTTTTATTTTAACCTGACCATTTTTAACTAAAAAAAACGTTTTTGAAAAGTTCAGGAAATTTATAAAGTCAAATATATGAGCAAATATCAAGTTTGTTCCCCTGAAATTTCTCTATTTTGTCTCATATATTTTTTTTCCGCTAAACTTTCAGAAAGTATTTTAACATGAAGAACTATGACAAAAAAAATTTATTTCAATGAATTTAAAATTGACTTAATTTTTAAAAATTCAGTCCAACATAGACAGTTGAAACATGTCTCTGGGGGTTTATGTAAATACGTATGCTAGTAAATCTGTCAAGTGTTTTTGTCTAAAGCCATAAAATTAAGCGTCTTATTTCCTTTCGAACCACTTGACCTGGAACTAGAAAAGAGTGTATTGATTTTATATTTATTAAATTTTGTTTTCTTGTTGAGAAAATTGAATTTTCTTCTCATTCGGTAACATAATCCGAAGACAAAGGTTAACAAAATCTCTCATGCTTGCCATTTTTCATTAGTATGGCTTAATAGTTCAACAACATACAGACAGTATATTTGACAGTCTTCTCTTGAACTACATCGGATTGCATTAGTTTCAGAAGAAATTATTTTCTTTGAAAAATAAACTTATTTACAACTACACGTTTTCTAAAATTTTGATCACAATTCTCTAAAGATCTGATTATAGCAGGAAACCATTTTCCTTAAAACATACATATGATCGAATGCAGTTATGAACGATGCTTTCAAATATGTTTGCTATATGTTGTCAAACTACAAAGCCATAGTAATGAAAAATACTGATTACTAGAGCTTTCTTTTTAAGCTTGTTCATCGGATCATATCATCAAATGAGAACAAAAACTCAATTTTTTCAACAAGAAAACAAAATTTAATAAACTCTTTTATAGTTCGAGACCTAGTGATTATTATAAGAGATTAGGAAAAAAAAACATATGAGAGAGACGCGAGAAGTTTTGACAGAACAAAGAACTTGACACTTATGAATCTCAGTTTCATTAATCTATGGACTTTCTTTTGTAAAACATTTCATTCAAAGAAGAATTTAATTCCAATAAAAACAATATATATTTCGATAGCATCTTTTCAAACTATAGATAAATAAATAAAATTCACTCGATTTTTACATTATCATTACTTTTAAAACTTCAAAAGAAAAAAAAATTTTTTTTCTTCTATATAATTTTAGTTCTATGAAAGTTTTCTTGAAGGTGATTATTTATGTATTGTAACAGAATTTTGTGAAGGTGGTGATCTTGATCAACGTTTTAAAGAATTAAAAAAACAAAATCGTACATTAGAAGAAGATCAAGTTGTTGAATGGCTAATACAAATATTAATTGCTGTACAGTATATGCATAAATCAAGAATTTTACATCGAGATTTAAAAGCAAGAAATATTTTTCTTAAATCTAATAAAGTTAAAATTGGTGATTTTGGTATAAGTCGAATATTAGTTGGAACAATGGATATTGCAAGTACATTCACTGGAACACCGTATGTTTATTTATTGTTTTGATTTTGAAAATTAAATTATTTTTAAAATTCATTTGTTTTCTTTTTTTATTTGTAAAGATATTATATGTCACCAGAAGTAATGAAACATGATGGTTATGAGTCAAAATCAGATATTTGGTATGAATAATAGATTTTAATAATTTATAGATATTGTTTTCAACGTATTGTTTAGGTCGGTTGGTTGTCTATTATATGAAATGTGTACTTATCAACATGCTTTTGATGGAAAAGGTCTTATGAATGTTATATATAAGGTAGTAGAAGGAACACCACCTGAATTACCAAAAACATATTCAAAAGAACTTAATGATTTATTGAAAAAGTAAATATAAAGTAAAAAAAAACAGGGTTTGTAAGTAGTATAATGAAAGTATTTTGAAAAAAAAGTATAAATGAATGTATTTAGATATTAGTTTAAAGTTCTTTTTCAATTCGACTATGTTCAAGCATCTTGATAAAAAAAAAAACTAAATCATTTATTTATACAGACTAACATGTAGTATCATATTATTTTTTATTTCATGAAACTTGATTAAAATTAATTCAATAGAGAAAAAATTCCAATGTGTTAAAACCTTTTTAAAGTAATTAAACAAATATCAGATATCATTCAATTATCCTTGTTAATTAATTTAACAGTGAATTTTCGTATCACTTGTTTAGATAATCTAATGGATTATGATGGATATTTTTTTCATGAACTTTCAGAAAAATTCCTTAATATATCAAGTTTTCAGTCTGTTAAAGATAATTTGTTAACAAGAAAACATTTACAAGTGATCTTCTCTGTTTGCCCACATATTTTTCCAATATATAGGAAGTCACTAGAGTAACGTAACTGCAAAAGATTTTCTACTCGTGCGTAGATGTGGTCATAATAACGACTTGTTTAGGAGATTTCTTCTGCCGAAGATCAGTTTTCGAGAAAAAAATATATATTTGCGAATTTCAATCTGAAACATCATACAAATAAAGATATCGATTAGAATTATCTCATCTACAAAATTTCATTAGTTTTGAATATCGGATTGCTCAGATATGAACTTCTTCAGATGAATATTATTTTTTTCTGCTTCAATTTTTTTTTTTGAGTTTTACCCCAAAATACAAGTATCTGAAAATTTTCAGTTAATCATTAAGATCAAACTATTTTTTGAAAGAAAATTGAATTGATTATTAAAATTACAGACTAAGCAAACATGCTATACTTTTTTTTCTATTTTATTAGAATGTTTACCAAAGATCCAAAACAACGACCTAGTGCTGCTGAATTATTACAAAGTCCATTTATTCTTGCACATCGTCAAGTAATATATTAATCAAGAAAATAGTAATAAAATTAAAAATTATTAATATTTGTTTTTTTTTTAGAGAATTCAAATAAATATTCCATTAGAAAATACAGTCAATGCTAATCGTCGTTTAAAAGATATTCATGCTCGTTTGTTCGTATAGAATATTTATTGTTCAATAAAAATGTTTTTGTTTTTTTTTTGATAAATATCTTTTAGACAAAATCCAATAAATTATGGTGAAATGAAAAAACAAAATTGGTCATTATCTAATCCAGATCATTCTACTATTGTCGAAGATTATGATGATGATAATGATGTACAACTTGGAAATAATACATTCTACAAACATAATGTTAAAAATGAAGAACCACAAGAACAAGAACAAGAAACTTTAAAAGCAGAAAATACACAAAAAACAGCTAGACAAACGATGATTGAACGAAAATTACATGAAGCCGATGCTCGTGCTCAAACATTTACGTAAATATATAAAAATAAAACTCAACTTAATAATTTCTTCAATAATTATTTAGTCAAGCAATTCGATCACAAACATTAGAAGCTGCTCAAAGTCGACAAATGATGCGTGAAAGTACCATATTTGGATCTGTAAGTGTATTTATTATGTTTTTCTTTTCTTTAATCAATTATTATTTATCAATATAGATGAAACAACCATGGCCATCTTCAACTATTACTGATATTAAAGAACAATCACGTACTAAATTATCACAAACATATAATTGTCGTACTCATAGTAAGTTGATACGTATAGAATTTTCATCTAACAGAAAAATTAAAATATCGTAAATGAATATAAAGTTTATATGAAGAATCAAAGGAATTTTTCAGAACTACCGTAATATATTTTAATTATGATCGAAATCAAAATGGTTTTATTTCTTTCGAAAAGAGAATGATTTATTTAGTATCAGTTGAAGAGAATGAAAAGATACTTTAATCGAGAAGCAGAGCTCGAAATAAGTTACTCGATTCAAAAAAACGTTTTCCTCATGAATCACAGGAATTTAAAGTTCAGTTCAAACTTTACTTCTTCTTTCATGTAAGATTTATACATACTACAACGGATTACAATCAAAAATGTTTTTCTATCTCAGCAATTTGTAAGTATCTATTAGGAAATAAATAAAAATATAGCATTGTATTCCGTTTAATGAGACTTTAATGTACACACATGGTTGATTAAAGTAACTATTACACTAAATAGTATAAATATTAATGAAATGAAGCAATGCTAATAATAGATTATGACTCTTTGAAATGATTGACAAATCATTTATTAATGGAAAAATAGTCTTGATGAAGTGAAAGTATCAGCAGACACATATGTTACTTTTTTTAGTTCAATTAGAAGTAGTTCAACGATTTTCTTATGTTGTTTTTACAAACACTACAAATTGCCTGACCTTATTAGTAAACATGTGATGATTATTGCAATAAATTACCGAAGTAATTGTTTAGTTCCTTTATGTAGAATTTTTTTTTTTGTAAAAAAAATATTCTTATAATCAGTGTTGATCTAGGCTTGAATAAAACACAATGAACTTGTCTGATGAGGATGATTAATAATTAGTCTGGTATAAACTGGGTTGAACAATAAAAAACGTAGCTCGATTTCGAGATTTGTTTGAGATGTAGTAAATAAAAATCCAAATTTTTATACATTTAGATCTCATAGAATCAAACGACAATAAGACAATTTTTTGTAATCAGACCGGATATAAAGCATTTCAACTAACTCTATATGATTAGAATATTATATAATTAAATCATTTTTGATTGTTCCTTTACATTTCAATCAATACATAAATATCTAATCTAGAAATATCTTTATCAAACTATATAACACTTCCGATTCATTTTGAATTGATTCGATAAAATCAATTATTAATATAATAAAAACATAAAATTTCGAACTAATATTTATTATAATTATTTTCTTAGATCCAAATCAATATTCCAATGAAGAAACTTGTACTGTTCGTACACATACCGAACGTCCGAATGATTTTAATAAATCTATTCGTAATAAAAATAATGATGATCGACCAATAACACCAATGCGTGCAACTTATAGACAAATAGCTGACAAATTTGGTGATGAAGATGGTTTACCAATTGATCCAACTTTAACAAATCAATATTATGAAGCTTATGATGATTTTGAAAAAGAAGATGATTATAGTCCAACACGTGAACATGATGAAAAAGAATTTTATGATCAAGTATGTCGTAGTGTTAATGGTCAAGAAATAATACCAGAAAGACAACGAATAATGTCTGCATCAAGAAATTCAACAATAAATTCAATGAGTCGTACAATTGATCCACGAAATGTATCTAATCAAAATCGACCATCAAAATATATAACATCATCAAGAACAATAGCAAGTACAACAAAACAAAAACCTCTAACAAATAGAACAATTGATGAAAATAATTTAACATTAAAAGATAATCCAATTTGTGATGCATATGGACCACTTGCAAAAAATAGAAAAATTACATCGTTAAGAACGTAAATAAAATTTTTATAATAATAATAATAATAATAAATATTTTAATTAGCAAAATTTATCTATTTTATTTGTTCTTCTTTTCTAGTAAAGCAATTCAAACATTAGGTGAAGAAACATTTGACAAAGTTCATAATTATTTAGTAAAACAACGAAGTGCACAACGAACAAATCCAACATTAGATGAAACACAAATTACTCAAGGTCTTACAGCATTTGTTAAAAAAACCAGCGATTGTTTTCTTGTTGATCAACTTGTATTTCTTGAATTGGTTTAAAATTTATATATGTATATATATATATATAAACATATGTGCATATATTCTACCTCGAATATTGTACGATTTTTTTCGTTTGTTTTTTTTTTTTCTTTTTAATAGTCAGAAAAAATTCAAAGCAACATTCTATATAAGATTTGTATTAAATGTTAATTAATCATAAGCAGAAAACAAAAAGAACTTTTGTCATATAGAAATATAGTTTTCTTGTTTCCTTGTATACCTCTTTGTTTTGTTTTTAATATTGTAGAAATGTTCGTATAAATAATGTGTGATAAAACAAAATACATGACAACGCGAAGAAAAATCAACCAGAAGAAATTAGGATTTATTTAACATGATTTCTTAAGAAAAAATTTCAGATTTTGAAAATGTAATAGCATTATTATTATACGATTCCATTGTATCGTTAAATGAAAAGAGGATTTCTTTTAGATATTATTACAATATGTTTACAGAATATAACTAATTAATCCTGTATATTTCAAGGTTATTTGGGAGAAAAAAAAAGGATTGTTTTGTACGATTTTCATTTATATACCCAAAATAAATTTGATGAACTTTTAATAATAAAGAAATATTTTTTTTTTCTTGTATTAAACATCACAATCTGATGATTTTCTGACAAATACATTGTAATAATTTGACAACATAAAAGTATTTATTCAAAAAAGCAAGAAAATTATTTCCATCAAAAGTTTGTTAATAATTGAAATAAACGATCTCATACATAATAGATATTTTATGTTCCATACTTCATAATTCTATGTTATATTCTGATTTTCATGGAATAAGTTATATCATTTGGATAATTAATGTGGCTGTCATTTGATAAAAATAGAACGACAAATCACTCCATACTATGCTCGTTCGAGATCAGGTATTGCATTTTTTTTTCTTAAGCATACATTCATCTTTCATTTTTCTCCGATGATAATCAAATAAAAATAATAATAATAATAACAATGGCAACATCATGAGAAAAGAAAATGAATTATTAAATAAGACATAGATAAAGAAGAAAAAAAAGTATTATGAGGTTTTTCTTTTATGAATCATATTGGTAAATTTTACCGATGTATAATATATATATATATATATATATAGGTAAATTTTTCATTTATTTGAAGACAATTGAAGAAATATATACAAGAATGATGAATATTAACATAGAGAAAATATTCTACACTTTTTCTTTTTATGTTGCAATAGAAAATGGTTGAACTTCCGGAAAAATTCATATGCTTATCTGACCTATTCTACGAGCACTACATTTATAGTCAATGCGAATGAAGAACGAGAATAGAGAAAAAGAGAGACAAAGAATACATAAGCGTGATAACAACTCGTTGTCATTTTTTCTTCTCTTTGCATTCGTTTTCTCGACAACTATTGAGAATCACCATATTCAAATCGATTAGTTCTCTTATCCTATTTTTCATAACATAAAAAAAAGAATACATTTATTTATCAAATGAACACATCATATACATTTGATAATGAAACATTTACAATAGCAACAACAATTCGAACTACTAAAAAGTATTATGTTGCAAATCCATTTGATTCATGGTATATTGGTGGTCTTCTATTTATGGTGACTGTTATTTTAGTGCTACTTTATGCAAACTTTTATCATGAAAATTCTTTTCAAATTTTATGGGCTCGATTATTAATAAAACTTCGTTTAATACAACCATCGTCATTAACGAGACCTTCTTCACATGCTGTAATCAATGGAGTTCTCCTTTGATTATAAATTAACAAGAGAAAAAGCAAGGTTAGATTTAGTATTTTTACACAAATATATATATATATATATATTTTTTTTTTTTATGTGAATATAATTTTCATCAATGCGCAAAAATGCTTTTTCGCCTAAATAATCTAGTCATAGTAAAAACAAAGAAAAATGTTTATTGTCGTTTGTAACTCTTTTGAGAATTAAAAAAAAGTATTTATTAGCAAGGAGATACAAAGAGAAAGGAAAAAACCAAAAGCATTTAATTATTTCATCATTTTTTAATAATTTCTTTCCAAATATAGATCGATTTTCGTCAAGAGACACATTATTTACAGAGACAAGTCATTTTTTTATGGTAGAATCATGTTTTTTTTATCATTTGTTTCTTGTGAGGTCTATTCATTACTAGCAAATAATGTAGTTGCTATTTTTTATTCAATTTTGCATTTGTGCCTTTCTCTATTAATATTTGTTCGTAATATTTCCAAGAATCTATTAACAATCAACATAATGATGTTGTCATTCAGTTCGAGTTTTTCTATAAGTCCTCAAAATAAACCGATATCTATGCATGACTGATTATTATCAAAAAACCCATTTGTTATGCTCATCTTATTGACTATTTGTTTAGCATTTCCATTAAAAATGGTTAACATTTGATGATTGATACATAAATATAATCATCACTCTTTCTATGAATATCTTATTATCCATTTGCCATAATATCGAATAAAAAAAAAATGCTTTTTTTTTTGTATCATTTCACATTACTCTTTCTATCATTTAATATAGATTAAGTGATCAAATAATAACAAAAATAATATAATTTACATCGACCTAAATTTTAACTCTCATATAATACAAAAATTATAAAAGTAGATTTCCAGAAAAAAAAATCGATAATATGTTAAGTATTTAAAAACAAATATAAATATCGAGATGTCTTTTCTTCCGTCTAATGATTTTCTTTTTCTAAAAGAATAGTTTTGAAAATTTTCATATTCTCGTCTTTTTGCTCTATCTATCGATTAATAATTTCGAAACTTTGATAACCAACCATTGGTGCTATATATCTATCATCGGAAAAATACATACGAAAACAAAGCATATCTATAATCCTAATACAACTCGTATATGAGGAAAAAAAAAAGGCCAAGACAGAAACGATAGTAACAGAATACTATTCAAGGAATTCTTCGCATTTATTGATTATCCACTGTAGACTTCGTTGTTGTTTGTTGTGTACAATCCATTCTTTGCAACGAAGGAAAGAAAAACACATATATATATATAAACAAAAAAAGACCAACGAACAGAAAATAATTTGTATTCAATTGCGTAGATCTTTTGCTTTTCTTCTACATATTTGTTTTTTTAAAATGGATCCTAAATGTGCTGTTTGTGAAAAAACTGTATATGCAACAGAAAAAATAATGGTTAATAATAAAGCATATCATAAACCATGTTTTCGATGTGAACATTGTAAATCTGTTCTTAAGTGAGTTTTTAAACTTGAGAAAATCATTTTAGATTTTCTTTTCATATGAATATATTCATATGTTTTGTTTTTATTTATAGACCGGGTAATTTTACATCAAATGATGGTAAAATTTATTGCAAAACTCACTATATGCAATTATTTAAAATCAAAGGAAATTATAAATCAGGTTTTTCGAATGAAAGCACTGTAACTGGTGACACAATCAATACTAATAATCCTTCAATTGATCAATAAAATATTGAGAAAAAAAAAAAAAAAAAGAATTATTCATGTATAAGATTATTATTTATTTTTATTTTTATTTTTATTTTTTATCTAAAGCAATAATAATAAATAGATTTTTAAAATATTAAATAATTGCTATATAGAATATTTTTTATTTCTTTATTATTATTAGTATTAATGAATAATGACAAAGGTGTATATTTTGATGAAGAAGTTGAATGTCTCATTATCTATATTTAATAAAGAAGAACATGACAGTATAACCTATATGACATGCAAACTAAAATCGTAGGTGTTTAAATTAATTTAATATTGATGAATGACACATACACCATTTTATTTTTACATCTCTCACATTTAATAAAATCTACATGATGAGTTATTATTTTCAAAAATGTTTACAATAGATCTAATAATATTGTTTCATATATTTCATCTCACATCAATGAACTATGTTATATCTTCTATTGGAAACTAATACAATTACTAAAACCATGACATCATTTTGTATAGCTATTCAGTTGAAAAAAACATGGATGTAATTCAAAAATCTGAAGAATAGAAAAAAAAAAACAGAGGAAATTGCTCATTAATAGAATTCTGATTGACGCAATAACTGAAATCACGCTATATTTTAATTTGTCAGTGTTATCTACATATAGAAACTAATTTCATGTATTAATTAAAATAAAATAGTATTAAATGAATATACTATTTACGAATACTGTATTTTCTATAATTGATAATGCAAAATTGTTTGCAAAAATGTTCAATTCTATTTTATCATATTGTTTACTTCTCAATTAAGGAAACTTTTTTTTTTTGTTAGAAAGAGCAATGTCTGAACTATAAATTTTGCACCAAATCTGATGAGAAGGAAAAGTTCAAAACCGAATAGCTCTAAAACAAAATTCTTGCAAGGTTTTTCCGGCTTGAAAAGTATATATTTCTGAATTATTTTGAATCACATAAATGAATCAGAATGTAGTGCATCAAAAACTTTATCAATATTAAATTTGGCAAAAATTTTGTTACATCAATCCCTGACTCTGTAATCAAAAAAAAGTTTTACAAGTGAAATTTTTGCAAAACACAATCTTTTTCAAGAAATATCAGTTTGCAAGAATAGCAACCATCATTTTCAAAAATTATTAATAAATAGAATTCTTCTTGCATTATTTATTTGAAATATTTCAGAACCTAGAAATTTCATAAAGAAAATAATTGAGAAAATATTTTTCTACTATTGCAAAACGGCAAGATAGTAATAACAACAAACTTACTCAGTCATTTTTAGAAAAAACTATATTTTGGTATAAGAACAAAGAGTAAATTTACTACTTTTTACGCTACAAAAATTAGCATTAAAAGTGTTTTTTCATTTCCCTTCGGATAAAAAAATTAATACAAAAATTAAGAATGCAATTGATCGATAGTGGAATTACAAGAAGATTTTTTTGAAAGTGTTTGGTAACGAACTTTTCTTTCTCGTCAGGTTTGTTCTGAAAAAATATGTCTGGCGCAAAATTTATAATGCAAACATTGCTCTTTCTAACAAAAAAAAAAGATTTTCCTGATTTAGAAGTCAACAATATAGGATCACAAAGTTTGATATATTTTTTTTTTGNAAGTTTGTTAATAAAATGAATTCACGATGAAAAATTTTACAAAAAAACAATATTTTCCTTTGTTTTCTTGATAACATAGTCTGGTAAGTGTATATACTTAGGTCATACCAAAAGTAGTGAGCCCCGCATCTTAATTTCTTATAGAGTGCTTGGAAAAAATTTCTTTTTTTATGAACAGATAGAGCGTCTTTTGCTTTATCTTTCTATGCTATTTAATCACTATTCAACTAATATCATAATAATAAAATTTCTATAAGATTTGTTTCTTTCGCATATGTGCTGGTACTATGAATGCTCCTAAGTACTTTTTGAATAACGTTTGATAGCAACAAGATAGAGAACTGCGATTTTCAGCGTTCGAAAGAGGAGATGAAGACGCATCGAATTGTATACTACGGATTTTTCTAATACGATTTCTGAAGTTTTTTTTCTTCAATTTTCTGACCGTTGAAAAACCTTTTTTTTAAGAAAATAAGAAAAAGCAAAAAACTTGATAGAAAATCATAGTTAGAATACGTATTATTTCTAAATAATTAAATTTAAACATCTAAGTCTTTCGCAGTTTGTAGATCTTCGAGTAGCAGCTTGAATGTGAACCTGATTATTGAATATTCACTGTAAATAACTCACGGGGTAGGTTTGCTCTTTGAAAGGTCAACTGAAAACCTTACAACAAATAGGTTAGAAAAATCAGTAATATGCGGTTCGATGTGTTGTCATCTCCTCTTTCTAAAGCTGAAAACCGCAGTTCTCTATCGTGTTGCTATTAAACGTAATTCAAAAAATATCCACGAGCATTCATGTTCATGGTACCAGGACACATGTGAAAGAAACAAATCTTATCGAAATTTTATTATTATGATATTAGTTGAATATTGATCAAATAGCATAGAAAGATAGAGCAAAAGACGCTCTATCTGTTCATAAAAAAAAGACATTTTTTCCAAGCACTCTATAAGAAACTAAGATGCGGGGCTCACTACTTTTGGTATGACCTAAGTAATTTTAAAATGCAATAAGTGATTTTACATGTGATTTTTCAGTAAGAATTTTTTGCTGATTATCTTCAAGTAATTCTTTTAAAGCATCATTTGGTACTTGTTTTCTTAAAGCATCTTTATACTTCTAAAGTAATTCACTTTGTTTCTAAAGACAAAATGCTCAAAATTTAAATCTGAAAACGAAATGGCAATAAGCTTTTTTTGTCGTATTTAATCTTGTTCAGGTGTTAAATCATTATTTTCTTCAATTTTTGATAGTTGATTTTGTATTTATAAATAGTCTTCAAAGATATTCACAAATCGGATTAGCTTCTTATGGACATTACTCTCAGTTTATGTAGCATACAAACTCATTTTTAATACATCCGAGAAAAAAAATTTTTTTTATCTTTTATTTTTTTCATATAATAAAAAACTCTTGTGTTTGTTCTTCATGTATCTTTTTGTATTAAGTTATGATTAATCATCCACGTCTATTGTTCGACAACTGTTTATAAAAACCGGTTGTAATAGAACGTACTCTTTTTCATCAAGAGAGTACATTTTTTTTGTTTCTAAAAATTGTTTTAAATCATAATTTGTATGTTCATAAACATATTTTGCAAGATCGGCATTAAGATGAAAAGATTTATTTGAATCTTTTTTTTCTTTAAGATAATACAACATATGAACCGGATCAATTTCGAATTCTTTGGACACCTTTTGTAAAATATAATATAATAATGGATATTCAGATGATAATTTCTTGCTATCAACTTCTCGTTTTAAATAGATCTTCACATCAGTGTCTGGAAGATTGTTGTGAATCAATTCTTCACATAACCGATCTTTAGGTATTGAAAATAAATCTCTGATCAACACTTGTCGTTCACAATATTTTTCTTTTTCTATTCTTTTTAATTCTTGTTGTTCAAGTTGTTCAATTTTTTTTTAAATTCTTTTTGTTCCTCTTGCATTGCTGAAATATCTGTAAGTAATTTTGTATTTGTTGTTTTAATATTATCCATTTGAGTAGATAGAGTTTGATTTTTTGTTGTAAAATTTATTAGTATTGCTCTAAATAAATCGTATAGAAAAGAACATAGTAAATTGAAAAAAAAAAGAATAACTATTACAGAAACATATTTGAATATATTTGACATGATATTGTAAGCACCTTCAATACATTCTGTTAATTCCTTAAATAGGGCATTAAATGAGGGTGTGAGTGTAGGTGTGGGTGTGGGTGTGTGGGTGTGGATGGGTGTGGGTGGGTGTGGGTGTGTGGGTGTGGGTGTGGGGGGGTGTGGGTGGGGGGGGGTGTGGGGTGGTGGGTGTGGGTGTAGGGGGGGTATGGGTGGGGGTG